TGAAATTGATTCAGACCTTTTCCTATGTTGTTGAAATCAGTTAAAAGAAGTTGAAATAAAGGTGAATCGATTCGATCAAATCCAACGGCTACGCTAAATGTGTTTGAAAGAAATTGAAATATAGATGAAACATATTAAACGATTTGATCAACCATATCAGAAAGCATGCAGTTTCACCTTACAATCAGTTAAATTAATTTTGGAATTCTTAGTATATTCAATCATTTTTAACCGCTTTAACAACCACCAATCAAATCACAAATCACTATCACAACTCACTGAGCAGAATAGGTTCAATAATCAACACCAGATTAAATACTTTTTCAATCGTTTTTTAAACTGCTTTAACAATCACCAATCAATTGTCGTCAATAATCACAACTCACTGAGCAGAATGGGTTCGATAATCAACACCAGATTAAAATAAAAGGCAGGTAATCATTATTATTTCAATTTCTTTCAACAACATATAGATTTATTTTAATTTCTTTCAATTTATTTCAACAACATATAGGAAAAGGTACGAATTAATTTGAGGTATAAATCACGTGTGTATTCTAATTCTGGTTCGGCAGCCATTTTTTTTATAAATTTAGCGTAGCCATTGGATTTAGGAAAAGGAACTAATCAATTTGAGGTACAAATCTCGTGCATATTCTAATTCTGGTTCGGAATATTCAATTTTTTTCAACTGATTTCAAAAACATAGGAAAAGGTACGAATGAATTTGAGGTACAAAGTGAACTACGAATGAACTAAGTACAAAACAGCCAGGTTACGAAACAGCCTGCACCCATTTTTGTTTAGACAAGAAACTAATGTATACTTTCGTAGCAATTCGATGTAATGTAATGTAATTAGTGATTGTTTAATAGTGTATTAAAACAGTAATTATATGCATGAAACATATTATGGTATATATGGGGGCATAATACTAAAATATGCAAATGACTACAAAAAAAGTCACTATAGAACCTAACAGAAGAAACATTTCCAGTTACATGTGACGCCCAAACGCACCAATAGCTACCGCATGGAATGCAGGTGATGCTTGGGATCATCATGGGGGTCCAACCCAAGATTTGCACGACTCTGACTTTGAATGTTACAGTCATTGTGGCATTGAATTCCAGGGTGGAAACATCAGTTTAATTGTTTTAGTGACCAGAAAACAAATTTTGATATGCGTCGGCTTACCCAAAATGAAAGGTTACGTGCCCTTGGCATGCTACAGATCGGCACAACACAGGCGGTTGTGGCGCGGACGATGAATGTTTCTCAATCTGTCATAAGCAGGCTATGGTCCAGATACCGTGATACACAATCTGTACAGGACAGACCACGCTCAGGTCGACCAAGGGCGACAACTCAAGCCCAGGATCGATTTATCCGTACCTTGGCCTTGAGAAATCGTGTCATCACAGCAAATCAGATCAGCGCTCGTCTTCAAACAGACACTGGTGTGAGAGTGAGTGGCCAGACGATTCGGAATCGACTGCATAGGGGTCACCTTCGCGCCCGACGTCCTCGCGTGATCCCTTGTTTGAGAGATCATCACATTCAGGCAAGACGTCGTTGGTGTAGGGATCGTCAACACTGGGATAATCGACACTGGAGCAATGTGATGTTTTCAGATGAGTCAAGGTTCACTGTTGATTTTTTGGACAGACGTAGGAGGGTGTGGCGTCGTCGAAACGAGCGCTTCCAAGACGTTAATGTCATCAGACATGATCGATTTGGGGGTGGTTCTGTTATGGTGTGGGGAGGCATCACTGTTGCTGGAAGAACGGCTTTACATGTTGTTGCAGGGCGTGTTACAGGCCAGTACTACCGGGACAACATCTTGGCAGTCCATGTTGTGCCGTTCGCACGACGTCATGACCGCCGTTTCATCTTCCAGGATGACAACGCAAGATGTCACAGGGCCAGGATCGTTACAGGTTACCTCCAACAACAGAACATCACCACATTACCTTGGCCAGCACTGAGTCCCGACCTCTCCCCCATCGAGCATGTCTGGGACATGCTTGGACAGAGGTTACGTCAACGTCAACAACGTCCTGCCAATGTCCAAGAACTTGCTGCTGCGTTGCAACAGGAATGGGACAATCTGGACCAAAATGACCTTAGACGTCTCATTAGGAGTATGCCACGTCGGATCAATGCTTGTTTGGCAAACAGAGGAGGATTTACCCGTTACTGACTTGGTTGTGATGCTGTGGTAACTTTGCTGTTTAACCCCGGGTATCATTTTACCCTTATAATGGTCAGTCTGTGCCTTACTTAGTCTAACGATCATTTGGAATAAATCGATGAATGTGAACTTCATTTCATTTTGTCATTTGTTTCTTCGTCAGTTTCATTAGGTGACTTTAATAACAATAATCAAATATCCCCTACTTTTTTTGAATAGTATATATATATATATATATATATATATATAGTGCAATAAACAATCCAATATTATAGCTATATATTTATTTATAATTGCAAATTGTGTTGATTGTCACTTTCAGTCATCGACATCGTAACTTGTTTTGAAATAAATAAATGAAATCAATTTAGATCAGTACAACAAAACACATACTTATGGAAAACAGCTACTAGTGTATTTAAGGCGACGTTTCGTAGAGTATTCTCTCAACGTTATCAAGCTAATCTAGAGTATTCTCTCAACGTTATCAAGCTAATCTACATGTAGCTTGATAACGTTGAGAGAATACTCTACGAAACGTCGCCTTAAATACACTAGTAGCTGTTTTCCATAAGTATGTGTTTTGTTGTTACTCTATCCAGTTACTAAATGCCATTTAAAGAACATAGATCAGTACAGTTGAGAATTAATTGTCTCTGCTCAGAGTGTTCTCATGTTATGATAGTTTATTATGTTGTGATTGTATATGATTCGTCCCCTTTTACAATGACAATACTTAAATTTAATAGGATTCGTAAATCCGATATTTTGACCATTAAAGGGAGATTACTTGACATGTGTAGAAAATCTTGTAACTCGTCAAATTTGAGATGTTTTAAAACAATTATGTGTAGAACCTATTTGTAATTCATCAAATTAAAGCCTCTTTTATCAGCATTTCAGTCCTAATTTTAACTTAAAATATTATTTGACCAAATCCATACACCGGAATTCACAACCACCGGAATTCCCTTTGAAGATATCAGAATTCGTCTGTAAAATCTTCCTATATACATTTCCATTAATATTGAATTACTTTAAAACACATAAAATCACCAGAATTCACATTGAAAACATATAAACACCTGAATTTACTTTCAACATATCAGAATTCGCACTGAAGACCTTCGTATTTACTAATATTTTACATTAATAATAAATTACTTTAAATCACCGGGATTCAGTTTGAAAACATATAAATATAAACATCGGAATTCAATTTCAACATATCGGAAATCGCACTTAAGACCTTCATATTTACTAATATTTTACATTAATAAATAAATTACTTTTAAACACTGAAAATCGCGGGAATTCACATTGAAAACATATAAACACCGGAATTCACTTGCAAAATATCGGAATTCGCACTTCAGACCTGCTTACTTACTAATATTTTACACTAATAATAAATTACTTTAAAACACCGGAATTCACATACAAAATATCTGAATTCGCACTTAAGACCTTCGTATTTACTAATATTTTACATTAATAATAAATTACTTTAAAACACCGGAATTCACTTTGAGAAAATCAGAATTCGCCCCAAGACAATCATATTTACTTATATTTTGCATTAATATTAATACTAGAATATATCTGCTGTAAAACGATATTTCCAGATGGTCAACTCGGGGAAACACAATATAAGAACACAACAGTTATCCATGTAAAATGTGGAGCAAAAAGTTTGCAGTGTAGATGAGCTAAGTTTATTCGAAAATTAACTGAAGCAGTCCAGATTAAATAAAGTGGAAAGTGTAATTGTGAGTTGTCTTGTGCCACTAATGAGACGCAAACACACAGGGGTCACACAATTTCGGCTTAATCCTTACTGATTATTCCTTAAATCAACACTGACGTGTTTAGTAGTTATTTTAATAATTAATTTGCAGTGGATATGAAGTACAGATTTATGTTTAACCTGTTTGTTGACAGGGCACTTTTGTTGATTGTCTCTAATCATAGCTATAGAATTAAATTGTTTATAACACTATATATATACCATAATATGTTTCATGCATATAATTACTGTTTTAATAAACTATTAATCAATCTCTAATTGCAATACATTACAACGAAAATATACATTTATTTTTTGTCAACAAAAATCACATACACGAGTTATCTCCCGTGAACCTCTGATTTGGGCACAAAGCAGCAAGGCTTCTTAAATTCAACTAAATTGTTATTTTGTGTTTCCACAGTCAACATTTTTGGAGTCATTAGGTGTTATTTTGGAGTTATTGGGTAATTCGACGCACCCTATGTTATCATAATCATGACGCATATATTTGAAATGAATTCCGGTAGTCTTTCCAAATAAATACACCTACAGCACCTTCATCTGGCCTGTGGGGAGATCAAAATATTTGTTATATTATAATGTATTATACATTTAAAATAAATTAGTTTTGTGGGAGGAATCGGGGATTTTTGAAGTGAAAATTGGATAAAAATTGTGACCTACAAACAAATTGTGGACCGACGGACAGGGGCGACAGCATAATACATTCACATGAAAATGTGGACATATAAAAAAGTTATTGGCTCACCATGGAAAAAGCCCTCTATAGGTGATTTTCATTGTTTTGGATGCCGAATGCATGTACTTTCCCTAAACAATGTTCCATACCCATTACTTTTTTTATACCCTACCCGCAACTCACCATGGATGTGTGATAATGATAAAATTTCCCACATGATTTGTAGGTTATTAAAATGGACCAAATTCTTTTAGATTGTCCCTATATTTTCATCTACATGTACTGTATATTTATTATCTTTAATCTTTTTTCTTCAGGCTAATCGGATATGTCTCGCTAGTTTAGAAAATGAAACTGAAAGTCACAGTACAAATACAAGCAAATCACCTGAAGAACAATATGCTGATATGATAGGTCACATTTGTATGGAAATAGGCATACCAGTTGTGTGTTCCTTTGGATTAATTGGAAATACTTTAAATCTTCTGGTATTAACAAGAGAAAAACAACACCGGACTCTTAGTAAAATGGAGTTTTCCGCTCATATAGGATTAATAGCTTTAGCATTTTCAGACTTTATGTTTTGTTTGCTGGCACTGCTGTTTACACTGCTACCTCTGAAGCGTTTTTATGATGAACAGAATATGGTTCTTTATTATAATTGGCTGGGTAATGGTTGTATTACCATATTTATTGTGACTAGTACATGGTTAACTGTGGTTATGGCAGGAGAAAGATATATGGCAGTATGTCATCCATTTAAAGCTAGAAATTTGATCTCCCTTAAAAGAACTCGGATCAGTGTAATGGGAATATTTGTTGTATGTACTTTATGTACTTTGCCTATTTTTCTAGAGAGTAAAATCCATCAGATAGACTGTCCTAATGGAGACAAATTCTACACAATTAAGAAGAGGGAAAGTTTTACTCGAGATGTTATTGTGGCTCGTCGAGTTGTTTGGGCAATACTCTTTGATTTCATACCATGTGTTGCTCTCATATATTTCAACATATGCCTTATCTGGAAAATTCACAAAGCTAAAAAACTGAGAGAAAACATGGCACCCATGAGAGGCAGGGAGTCAACATTGCTGAATCAAAGATCTAGAAATGGAAATGTTAAGTGGCAAATAAAATTCAAAAAGGCAAATGGAAATAACTCGCTGCAACCACCAATCCCATCACGCTCACACTCGCTAACCCACGACAGTAACAATTCAAGTCCCAAATTTAACAGACATTCATCTAGAAAACGCAATACAGATAGCGCTCTGAATAGTGTAACAGCTACTTTAGTGTCAGTGATAATTCTGTTTCTAATTCTTGTATCTCCCAGTGAAATTCTGAAATTCACATTGTACTATACATCAAAGTCCCTTCAAAAGAATCACAGATTTGACATTGTAAAATATATTACTAATTTCATGCAGGCACTCAACTTTTCTACAAACTTTGTTCTATATTGTGCTATTAACAAATCTTTTCGAAATTCTTTAAGATCCCTTTGTTGCTGGTGGTGGAGAAAATTAAAAAGTCACAGACTAAAAGCCACAGTTATAAAGTTAGAATCTGCAAGTTAAATATTTAACTGAATATACGTACTGTGTACACAAATCCAACATTTTAGCTTAAATTAACTTAAATTTTTAAAATTACAGGAGATTAGTATGAATCTGTAGCTAAATTATCTTTTACATGGTCTCAATTTGTGGCTCTTGGAATTTTATTCTCAATAGAAATATTGTGTAATACTTGTTCTTGTCTCAGGTAATAGTATAGTTCTTTCACTAGAGATTCACAAAGTGATGAAAGATAATATCTCGACATACACTTGATCATGTGATTGGCTTTTAAAAATCAGATGCAGATTCCAGAACCCATGATCATAGGCATATGGGTTGATTTTCCTTTGGGGGGGGGGGGGGCTGTATCATATTTGCTCGGAAAATATGGCAGCAGTGCCCAAAAAAATGAACAAACATAGCTTTACCAGACCAGATAGTGTCCAATCAACAATCAGTGAAACTTACTAAGAACTAAAATGTTTACATTGATTGATCTCATGGTGTTTTATTCATCATCACACCTGAATTTATAATTATCGTATACACACCAATCTACTGAAATTAACCATGTAATACAACAACAATCTGCACAAAATGCTAATCTGGCTGTAACAAGGGATTTTTGTTGAGGAGTCAAATAACATCCGACCAGATAAGAGCAAAATGCGAATTTCATTTAGTGCATAATCAAATTCCACACCGGTCAAATCAATATATATCAGCCAATCGATGGTAAAAGCCTCAGTCAGTCATGAAACTAAAATCACAAAATATCCGTAGAAAAATCTCGAAAAATAACGGCAAGTTGTGCCTAGTGCTGTTTGAGTTAGAGAACTAGACATCCTGAATCAAAATCAGTATTGTGTGTTTTTCTGAAACTCTGAACTTCGGTTGGGCATTGCATCATCCCCACGCAATGGTCAGTAAAAGTCATGGATTTTGGGCACTTCATTTTGCGGGATGGAATAATTTCCATGTTGTTCCCTTTGTATTCCCTAAAATTTTATTTGGCCAATAAATGGGACATGTGCTGATAATATCATTTTATTTGGCCACTACCTGAAATATTTGATGATCACCCCCACGCAATGGTCAGTACAGGATGGAATAATATTCATATTGTTCCCTTTGTATTCCCTAAAATTTTATTTGGCCAATAAATGGGACATGTGCTGATAATATCATTTTATTTGGCCACTACCTGAAATATTTGATGATCACCCCCACGCAATGGTCAGTACAGGATGGAATAATATTCATATTGTTCCCTTAATATATCCCCTAAAATTTTAGTTGGCCATTGCCTAAAAAATTGCCAGAATAAAATTGTTTTGCTAGACTCTGGGGGGAAGGGGTGGTTCAGTCCCCTCAGTTCGCATGTCTATGCCTATGATGTCAATCTGCTGACAGTGCCTGACTGACAGTGCCTATGATATCAAACTGCTGACAGTGGCCAGGTGACTTGTGGTAGCGAAAGAGTTAGTATGTATGAAAATTTCCTTGTGTACATGTTTAGTTAAGCCTTTGGGTTAAGTTCATGTTAATTTTTAAAATATCCAATCAGACATGTGTACTTTTATGGAAGAAGCTAAAATTGTGAAGAATAGATATCTTCACATTAGAGTAAAAACCAGGCTTTATATAGACACAGATATGTATCTACCCCAAAAAGTGTCCTTTTAAAATACATTAAAGTGACATAAAACAATGCACATAACAGCATTCCCAACATACTTAAAATAAGTGTGTATTTACTGTATAATGTAGTGAGTATATATTATCTTAAAGTTTATAGATATTGAAGTTACATGATGGAATAAATATTTCAAGTTCAGGGAAGTAAAGAAATGGTCTTTGTCAAGCCAGTTTTAGTGTTCCCCCATCCAGCAATGACTAATAAAAAATACAAAGCCCTCTTGATGGTGTGAAATGTCATTTATTAAAATGACGTCAACATATCCTCTTCAAAAAAAGTAGGGGATATTGAAATGCAAATACCTATGCAGGTTGTGATATGATACATAGCCATGGACACTTGACATGCTTTGAAAGTATGTTCACAGATGAAGAACTTATCGCCCCAACAGAACCACTGAGCTGCACATGCGACACGCAATAGCGCCATACACGTGGGATGGGTTCATTGTCAAATTTGACACTTCAAGGAAGGGTTGATGAAAACTGCCGTTTGCTGGTTTAACCTAACCATGTTTGCTTTCCTATCGGCTCTTGTTTAAGTGGTCGTATTTGGTGTCAATATATATCTTTTCAGGGGCACAGATTCCATTTCTCCCAGTTACAACCGTGTAAAATGATCACATGTTCATCCATTTTGCATATTTTCAAGATGGTGGCCATTTTTGGCAGGAAAATGGGACGGTGTTTTAATATTGGTTAAGTAGTCGTCTTTGGTGTAAATATATCTGTTTTCAGGTCGAAGATTCCATTTCTACCGTTTACAACTGAGTAATATGATAACATGTTCACATATTTAGCATATTTCTAATATGGCTGCCATTTGTTGCAGGAAAATGGGACGATGTGCTGATTTTGATTAAGTAGTAGTGTTTTGTGTCAATATGTTTTCTGGACACAGATTCGATTTCTGCCATTAACAGCTGCGTGAAATGATATGTTCACTCATTCCGCATATTTCCAAGATGTCTGCTGTTTGTGGCAGGGCGTTTTCTAAACACAGTACTGACACAGTTTCTGAATCCAATTCTGCTATGTATAAGCTTGTAGCACGTTCCTGGAAGCCATTAGGTATATTATCCAACCATGAAAATTCCTCATCCGAGTTGACCACTGAGCTAATATCGATTTTCCAGGAAAAAGGTGCATATACTTGGTCGATCAGTCTGATTTTAAGACTTGGTGGCGCCATCAAGACTTTCAGTTTATGTTGTCTGTCAGTTATAGATGCAAAATTAACGATGGTTAAAAATGTGAGACTTTTTTAAGGTAATTTGAAAAGGTAATTAATTAATTAATTAAAAAGTAGAACAGAAATGTAAAATATTAAATATAAAGCAATATACAAAGAAATAAAAACACGGACTGCAAATGAAATAGTAACACTTTCTATAAAAAAAACTTTGTGGCATAGATTATATTATCAACTGACATAAAGCTGCGTGTGGAAGGAGTTTTCCAAAGGAAAGCTGTTGCAAACAAACTATATCACTAATTAAACAATGAAGTGACCCATCATCTATGACATCACTGTCATTAAAATTGAAAGAACTGGTGGCAGTGATGTAAAAGTAGCCGGCCACGTCGTTGTGTAGCTAGTGGCATACTTTACGTTTCCAATGCAATAGCATTCCACATGCTCGTTCCACATTCAGCTTGGAAGTCAGTTGATAACATAATCTATGTATGTCACGAGGGCTTCTAATGCAAGTATTTCATTTACAGTCACGTCCCCACCAGTTTCAACCACGTTGCCGCCAGGCTGGAACGAAGCTCCTAGCCACATATGCTTGCTAACCTGTTACAAACTTTTTGTATATATAGGGAAGGCACAGAGCCTCGTCCATCAGTTCCAGTCTAGCATCTTAAGAGGAAACATTAAGAAACTGAAAAAATGTTCTTGATTGCTTAACGTTTGGTTGTTCTCTGCGTTGAAAGTGAATGAGATCGGTGTGAGCATGGCGCAGTCACTATAGGCGCGGCGAAAAGGCGGCTTGCGCCTTGTAGGCATGTCACGGGAATGTGGTGAGAACGTATCCCAATCTGATTGCCAACCTCGAGAGCATGGAGGAAACACGGTGCGCGCATCCAGAGTTGGCCATGAACGTATTTAAAAGATCTTGAGAGTGCTGGGCGTAGAAAGCGCTTGGTGTGGTCGTGGCAGGAGCATGATGGGCGCACGTTAATCTGGCGCAAGCGCCACGCTGCCATTATGCTCTCTTTATTTCAGAAGACCAAGTGAATAGCCTTTTCTTTCCCAGGAAAATCGATATCAGCTCAGTGGTCATCTCGGATCAGTAATTTCCATCGTTGGATAATATACCAAATCGGTCCGACAGGGTACCGGTTTTCAGGAATGTGCTACAAGCTAATATATATAGCAGAATTGGACACAGAAACGTGTAAATAACAACGACAAGTAAATATATATATGATAATACTTTTAGAAAACGTTCTGCCGACTTGAAAATATGCTAAATTGATCATTGATCATTTTACGCAGTTGTATATGGCAGAAATTGAATCTGTGCCACCGAAAACATATATATTGACAATGACACCAAAGACAATCAGCAGTTCGTTCGATTTTTTCACCACAAGTGGCAGCAATATTGGCAATTTGCTAAATATGTGAACATGTGATCATTTTACAAAGTTGTAAATGTCAGAAATGAATTCTGCGCCCCCGTAATCATATATATTGACACCAAACACTACTACTTAATCAAAATCTGGACATGTCCCTAATTGCTGCCAAAAATTGCTGCCATCTTGGAAATATGCTAAGTATGTGAACATGTGATCAATTTACAAGGTTATAAATGTCAGAAATGGAATCTATGACCCCGAAAACAAATATATTGACACCAAAGACTACTACTTAAATGTTAATCATTGAACTCAGTCAAGACATTCGCCTAATAAACATCAACATCAAGTTTAATCATTCTACCTCAATTAAAAGCAGAGTTGTTATGTTTCAAAGTCTTGACCAATCAAATTGCTTATCAATCCTTAGCCTAAGCAGAAAAATTCTCATCATCAAAATTAGTCAAGGTAATGATATAATGAATCTATACTCGGAGCTTCATCACTCTCACTTAATTAGATGAAATGAAATGGGGTTTAACGTCCTACTCTTCTGCACCTAACCTGGGCTACTTGAAGGCGGGCATACGCCATACAGTGTGCTATGAGGGAAATTTTGCCCGAGCAGCGGCGCTAAGGCCTACTCTTATATCGAATTCCGACTGCCAAGGGATCTTTTACGTGCACGCCAATGTGTACACGGGACCTCGGTTTTTCGTCCCATCCGAACGACTAGGCAGCTGTCCTTGTCAGGCCCTCCGTTCTGCATCACTGACAAGGAGAAACCACGCCGGAAAATCGAGATGAACTTTCTCGGCCAATGCAGGGATCGAACACCCGACCTCCAGGCTAGCGAGCCAGCGCCTTAGCCACGTGATCCCCCTCACTTAATTAAAACCAAAGTTACTGGCCCCAAAGCATCAACCAATCAGATTGCTTATCTCTGCTTACCGTAAGCAGACGATGTTTATCATCAAACTCCATCAAGGCATTCACCTTATGAACACCTACACCAAGTTTGAACATTCTACCTC